TATCGAAATGAAATTGCCTTTACGATAACTCCAGGTCTTGTTTAATGCACTTATCTTTTTTTCTCCTCATGAAACTTTTTCGATTATACTGAATTTTCCATGCTGACATGATACAGGTAGTAATATAGAGGTAGGCGATATTGTATATGAGCCTCCGAGAGATGGCCCGACATTGTGGGAAATAGGCATTCCTGATCGTTCTGCTGCAGAGTTTTACGTACCTGATCCTGATCTATTCCTTCGTCTTAGTTTAAAGGATATGACAAACAGGGCCTATATTCCTATGTATATCAATTAAATCGGTGAAGTGCAACAAAAATTCACGACGTACTTATTTTTAGATGTTGGTTGAAGTTCAAAGCTGGCCATACAGTTTTCCAGCATCAGAGGACTTTCAATCATCAGACCAACGGGGTAATGTTAATGGAAGACTATTGGTTCGAGACAAGTGAGACCTCGATATGTATTTGGTTTTTTTCGGGCTTCTTTTTCTTGTACGAACGATTTTATGATACTTTTGTTTACCTGCCTAGGTATGTTAGTGATGATTATATTCCGGGAAACAGTGCATATGTTGGATTGGCCCCTCCGGGGGAGGTTGGATCATGGCAAAGAGAATGCAAGGTTATAATAATTAAGTTCTTTAACTGATCCCCGAAATTCTGACATAATTTTTAAGAAGTTCTATAAAACTCGGTCTCAATGTTAAGAAATCTCTTCTTGAACCATGAATTTCACATCTTAAATGTATACAGTTGATGACTTTAAATTACTTCATTCAGGACTACCAATTTTGGTCAAGAGCAGACGAAGAAGGCTATTTCTCGATAAACAATATACATACGGGCAACTACAATCTTTATGCATGGGTCCCTGGCTTCATTGGCGATTATCGAAATGAAGTTGCCTTTACAATAACTCCAGGTCTTGTTTAATGCACTAATCATTTTCTTTCCCTTCTTAAATTTTTTCGATTATACTGACTTTTCCATGCTGACATGATACAGGTAGTAATATAGAGGTAGGTGATATTGTATATGAGCCTCCGAGAGATGGCCCGACATTGTGGGAAATAGGCATTCCTGATCGTTCTGCTGCTGAGTTTTACGTACCTGATCCTGATCCGAAATATGTTAACAAACTTTTTGTCAATCATCCAGACAGGTTAGTTTACATTTGCCTTTATTTTATGAGTTTTACATGTCCATTCACAGTACAAAAATTACAATATCCATATTATGAATTCATTGTCTCAATAGGTTTCGGCAATATGGACTATGGGATAGGTATTCGGAGTTGTATCCTGGTGAAGACTTGGCCTACACCGTTGGCTTGAGTGACTATCGAAAAGATTGGTTTTTTGCGCAGGTTAACAGGTGCCTTTCTAACTATTTTTGTTGGCTTAGTCACACAGTCCCTGGGTCTTATTAAGTAATCCGAATGTTTCACAAATGTAGGAAAAATGATAACAAGTACGAAGGAACCACATGGCAGATCAAGTTCAAACTCGACACTGTCAACGAAGCCGGAGTTTATAAACTGCGTGTGGCACTTGCATCTGCAAACTTAGCTGAACTGCAGGTAAAACCTGTCTCCAGATTCATATAATCGTGCCTGAGAAATCATTCAACTAAACTCTGCTCGAATTTCTTCTAGGTTCGAGTTAATAATCCAAATACAAATAGGCCATTATTCTCAAGCGGCTTGATTGGGAGGGACAACTCGATTGCCAGACACGGAATTCATGGATTATATTGGCTTTACAGTGTAGACATAAAGGGAGCTATACTTGTGCAAGGGGACAATACCGTGTACTTGAAACAACCAAGGAATGCAAGTCCTTTCCAAGGACTCATGTATGATTACATTCGACTCGAAGCTCCCCCGAACTAGACATTCTGATGTTCTCTCTATTGAGGGATTGAATAGAGAGAAATGAAGAACATATTATTTTAGAAATAATGAAATAATACAAATAAATGAACATGTTCAATCTTGCAATGTACACATACGGTCGAGTCGTCAATTAATATTTTATGGTTATCCTCTGGAAATCTTTATCAGAGCTGAAGAATTGATTCTAATTCTAATTCTAATTCTAAGGTCAATCCGTTTGATTTTTTTTTACCACCGGACATGAGCTTGCCGTCCTATTCATTTCAAGCTAAAATGAGAAGTTCGGTGTGATGTCATAATCATTATACTTAGGCTTTAAGCCTACACATTAGGTCATCAAGATTTTCTCTTGATTAGTGAACTTGGGTCGAGATGCCGTTAAAGGGGAATCAAGCCCTCTACCCTGCAATGACGATGTCTCTCATGGTCTGACTTTGATCTGCATTGATAGGGCTTTAAGTCGATGTTCGGAGCTTATCTTTCCAATTTTCGACAAAAATGATCATTTGACCAACTCAAGGTGAACCTTTACTTGACTCAACGTGAATTTCATAATCTTGTTATCGTTTTAGAAATAACCGTCTTACAAGAAATGGTGAAGGCACTCCCAAAGCTACCATTATTGCAGGACGATCACTTTATTAACGTATCAAGGATCCATTTATATCATTTCTCTTCGAATTTGATCTCGAATATTAAAATTACAATACATAACCAAATTCTCAGTCCAATATGCGCAAGAAGTTGTGCAACATCAATTTCGTGTTACATCATTTGTCTACATCATTTTATTTGTAGAACAATATTCTTTTAAAAAGGATGCAGCAATTCTTGAAATACTTAAGAAACAATTATTTCAAATTGAAAACAAAACATATTTTTTTTTATTTCTCCTTTTCAATCATTTTAATTGTTTTAAATGGGATAATATGGAAACACATTTCTGCTCTTCTTTAAATTGGTCAAATTTTGGTCAATAACACATGTTTTTGGATGGAATTGTGGTGTCAAGATTGAAAGGCTCCACGTCACTTTTTGAAAGGTTTGGCACTACTGATGCAATTTACCCAAATGGTTGATCACCCAAGTTTTAGCAAAGTTTTATATTAGTCACTACTTAATTTTGTTCCAGTCACTACCCTTCCATAAAACTAAACATAAGAAACTCATTAGAGCCAGTTTGACAACCATAATTTAAAAAAAAAATAAAAGAGTTTTGAATAGTGACTTTTAATAGTTAAAAAGTAGTGAAAAGATTTTGGTACACGTGTATAATATTTTATTATATGAATATGTTGTTAAAATGATCATATAGCAAATCATAAAATAAATTAACGAGTGTCAAACAGACGCTAATCATGCATGCGCAAAAATAATTAGTTATTTCTTCACGGTTGGCCTTGTGCTTCGGTTCAAAGTCATTCTTGCAAGCTACAGTGCATCTTTGGTAATACTGCTATACAAACAAGTGACGATATAAACCAGGAACGGATTTAGTATGTGGTCAGTTGCCCATTAGAGTGGACAAAATGTCCAGATCAAACCAAACCAAACCATTTTGGTTCGGTTCTACAAAAAAAATTAATGGTTTTGATTTAGTGAAGGCCATAATTTTGTATTCATTTGTGTCAACTCATTAATTGTGTACACTCTAATTTTGTATTTATTTGAAACATTTCTCTTTCACTCCTTTTCAATTTACACAACGTTGTGGCATGCCGACACCGTATGTCATCACGTCAATGGAGGAGATTCTTTTAACATCAGAAAATGGAATTGGCCAGTCACTTAAAAGTCTTTAAATTATTATTTCACCTCTATTGTTTGATGAATTATCTATGCTCTTCACAAATGGAGAAAAATCCAATAAACATTCATGGCGTATTAAATAGTTAATGATTATCAGTAAAAGTAAACTGTAAAGTTTTGCATAATCCATCATTTATTGTGGGTTTGTACCGTCAAAATTGCCGCAATTAATTAGTGAATCATTCTTAGCACTTATTAGACAATCTTTTGTATGGGATGATAATTGATTTGTGTGTTTAAATTATAACTGTGTTTTGTTTGTTATTTTGAACTTTTGTAATCTTGATAATTGATAATATGAACTTCCTGAAATTTTTTTATTTAGGCATATATTATTAACTTATTGATGTGTTGCAAGTCTGAAATTTTTAAAAAAGAAATTAGAACCGAACCAAATCAAACCAAAATTGAATGGTTCGGTTCCTGTTTGGTTCCATATCTTAAAAAAATAAAAATAAAAATTGGTTACATTATCGAAAAAATCATTGGTTCATGGTTAGGTTTGGTTCGATTCTCTTGGAACTAGAACCAAATGGAACCATATCCACCCCTAGTTGCCACCACACTAAATTTCAAATTTCGCTATCCTTATAGTTTTCAATTTTTGCCCCCTGCAATTAATTTTTTTTTTAAAATAGCCCCCACAATTCTTTTATCCTAGCTCCGCCCCTCATTATAAACTATGAGATTCCACTTCCTGTGCACTTCAAGTGATTGTTTAATTATGATATAAATTTGTTTTCTTTAGTACATACATAATATTTTGAGAAACTCCTATTTTGTGGAAATTAAAATTAAAATTTTAATCTAAATCAAAGTCAATAACTAATTTTAAACACATATCACTACAAAAATAAAAAAGGGGGCTCCACTGACCAAAGGTTTAGCGACCAATAAAACATGGTTGCTATAAGACACGATTAGCGACCAACTAATGGTTGGTACAGGTTTGGTCTAGTAAAATTGGACTAATTTTGTTATGTTCTATTGCAACCAATGTTTGGTTGCCGATTCAGAGAATTAGGGACCATACATTTGATTGGTTGGTAAAGGTTTTGTCGTAAAAGAGCAAAAACTTTCCCGCATATGAAAATCGCTCCAGCGACCACTAAATGATCCCTAAACCTAATCGTCTGCAACCACCAATGTCGTGGTCGCCAAAACATTTGGCACAATAAAGTCCCGCTTTTTTCGATTGGTTTGGGCATTTTCTAGCGACCAATAGTGATGGTTGCAGTATGCCACTCCACTCTAGCGACCACTGAATGGTCCTTGAAATCTTCTGCAACCATCCATTCCATGGTCGCTAAAACATTTGGCACAATAAAATCCCGCTTTTTAAAAAAGATTTTGGCATTTTCTAGCAAAATAAACAGATCGAGACCATGTTCATGTAGTTTTGAAGTATTCTACCATGAAATAAATGTTATATATTTATACAATAAATATAATATGTGAAAAAAATAACTAATTAAGATGAAGTGTTCAATTGGTGAAAAGTGTGGAATTTGTGTGAGAGGTCAGGTGTTCGAGCCACGCCTCACGCACTATATTAAAAAGTTTTTGATTGGGTTTTATTGATTCTAATAAAATTATTTTTTTTTT